GCCCTCTTCCTGCATCTGGAGGTGTAGATGTCTGTGATGGTGGGGAGGCTGATTCCGACAGATTTCTGTGAACATGAATTCATAACATGAATTCATAATTAGAAGCTTTCTTAAAGTTTTAAATTCAGTGATTAGTTGAACAGACGGAACAAACCTTTTCCTGTATTCTTAGCCTATTCCAGCACCTCCAGGTCGGCCTTGTGTTCAAATGGAGGGCTACTGGGTACCACAGGGGGAGATGGAACCACATCTGGATCCCAGCTACATCCTCACAGCCTCAGTGAAACTCAACCTTCGTGACCTTGCTCGAGTGGTCTCTGCAGGGTAGGACAGCTGTCACCCAGCACGACCCACATTACCCAATGTCTCTAAAAATCAGTGTGTCCAAATTAAAGCCTGTTCTAAAGGAAAAGGGGTGTCGGTGTGTTTGGCTGTGCAGCAGCTGATGATGTAATAACGGACAACAACGTAGTAATTTTAACAATTTGAAATGCAATAAAATTAATAATGTAATCAAATTTCCTAGCCTATTATGTACTACTACTACTACTAATAATGTAATAAGTTGTGACATTTTTGCCAGCTATTCCAGTATTGGCCTAGCATTAAAATAATCTTTTAATAATGTAATAACTGAAGCCAATAATGTAATAATACAAAAATAGAATTGCATTTATTACATTTAAATATATTGACCCAGCATGAAAAACATTTTGATAATAAAATAAATACAGCTGATAACATATTTGGCAATTTTTTGGATTAATGGTTAGGTTGTCTCAAGAGCCCGACCAATGTGGATATTTTATCTATTGTCGTTACCAATATTGGGGGAGGGGTAGGCGACCACCGATAACCGATATAATGGCTGAAAAATGTTGCGCTTTGTCCGCCCCCAAGAATCGAAGAAAACAGTGAGTGGAGCGGGGCTTGTTTATTTAGCGCAGATGTTAGCAACAATGAAGCTAAGCTAATCAGATTTAATTAGTACCACTGTTCTGCCTTTTGTTCAAAGATGGCAATAAGTTCATCACGTGAGTAAGTTACATTAATGAGGTGATAAATATGTTCATAGTTAATGATTAGTTTAAGTAAATTCATGCTAAAACCTTTTCAAATGTTTTGGGTTTGAATTCCAATCAGAGTGAGACATCTGATCTTCATCATATTGAACATGCAGCACGTGACGTAGTGAGTGCTCTCACCACAGAACAATCTTTGACGTCTTTTCTCTGGTAAAACAAGGGCTTTGGAAAACAAGGGAGAAAACGGCTCATGTACACGCTTGTGCTCTGAGAGTCTTTTGTCTTTTTACAAATTCATAAATAAAACATCTTCAGTAAAATCAAGAGAGCAAGCCTTGTCTGAGGACTTCTTTTATTTTGTTCACGGTCTATCTTCACATAGTCCCGTGTTGTGACAACAGCATACCCACACCAAAGTTAGCTTGCTAACTTGAAAGGCACATAGCTAACGACAAGCAAGTTGGAGGATTGAAGATAATTTATTATTGTGGCTTTTTTTATTTATTTTACAGATCAGTTACAATAAACTTAACATGCTCTGTTCAGTAAAATATGCAACATAGTATTGCTCCCCGCTTCGTCTGTGCTGAAAGTGAAACTTAAAGTATCCTGATGCATGCTCAATAATCCAGGTAGAAAAATCTAAAAAAGTTAAATCTGGTCCTCTGGACATTCAAAAAAAAAACAACAAAAAAACAAAGCAAATCAACAAAAAAAAAAAATGCAGAAATGTTTTGTCTCTCATCCGAGAGACTTCCTCAGTCTGAGGAGCTGTATTCAGCTCAGTCTCTTAAATAGCACATTTTCAGGGTGGATCAACCAATTTTGCTGCTGACAACCAAAACCAGCTGACCAGCTCAGAACACCACATACAGAACACCATGGACTTTGTGGACAAGGTGAGGGATGTCATCATGGAGACAGATGAAACAATGGTCTCTTTTGATGTCACATCACTCTTTACGTGCATTCCTGTTGATGATGCAGTAGAGGTGGTCAGTTTAAGATTAAAATAAGACACCACTCTGAGCAGCAGGACCACACATTCTACAGAACAACTGTGTCAACTCTTGAAACTGTGCCTGCAGTCAACCTACTTCACATATGGGGAGCAATATTATAGGCAGAAACATGGGTG